AATATGCAGTCAATTGCATAGATTCCACTTCAGCGCAACACTTCCGTGTCTGCAATTCTGTCGCCCCAACCGATGCGCAAAATTCGTCGCAGACACTGCTGATGGGACCGCTCGAGATATCGCACATCTCGCCGGTACATCGTCCACGTTTCACTGCAGTATAGAAGAACGGACAGTACCATGGATTTGTACACCATCAGCTTCATGCCAATGCTAAGCTGATGGTTGTTCCACCCTCGGTACTCAAGCTTCCCGAATACCGCTGCCGCCTTCGACACACGATTACGCAACTCAACGTGTAGCTGCTGATCAGTCGACATCACACTCCCAAGGTAGCAGAAGCGGGAGGCGGTTTCCAATACTTCAGCACCAATGCTGATTTGCGGCAATATTGGAGGTTGCATCTCCTATGAAGGCTGAAAGAGACAGACAGTTTTGCTTGTGTTGATGGTGAGTCCGAATTTGGCCGCTGTCGAAGCCAGAGCCCTAGTCATGTGCTGCAACTCATCCGCGCTGTGTGAAAACAACGCACAGTCGTCAGCAAACAGCAACGTACGGATAGTTGTCTCACAGACTAAAGTTCTTGCACCGAAACGACGGATGTTCAGCAACCCACCATCAATACGGTGCTCCGCACGAACACCGTAATCACAAGCCGCATCAAAAAGCACAAGACGACAGGGCAGGAGCTAAGACACAGCCTTGCTTCACACCAGAGACAACGGCAAAGTCATCAGAGGTCTCTCCACTCAGCTGCACCCTCGCTCGCATACCACTGTGCAGACATTCAAATAAACTTACAAACTTACGCGGGCAACCAAACTTACCCAACACCAGCCACAGTGCCTCGCGGTTCACCGTATCAAATGCCTTGGTGAAATCAACAAAAAGCGAGTACAATGGCTGGTGTCGTTCTCTGCACTTCTCTTGCAACTGACGAGCCGCAAACACCATATCTATAGTGCTGCGACCCGAACGGAACCCACATTGCTCTTCCGCCACGTTAGGTTCCACAACCTGACTCACGAGGCGATTGAGTAGGATTCGGACAATCACCTTGCCCACACAACTCAGCAAGTTGATGCCACGATAATTCGTGCAACATTGCTTTCTACCTTTGCCCTTGTACAGTGCTAGCACAAGGGCATCCTTCAGCTCAGGAGGCACCTCCTCCTCAATCCACACGCGTTGCACCAAGTGGTGCAGCGCAGTCAACAACGCGGGTCCACCGTGTTTCAATACTTCAGGTGGGATCCCGTCGGCCCCAGCACACTTGTCGTTTCGCAGCTGAGCAAGTGCTCTCTGCGTCTCATCCAGTGTCGGCGTATCCGCCAGATCCGCCTTCACATCGTGCTGCTTCAGGCCATTCAATGTAGGCCAGTCGATCTCTGAACGGTTGTTCAAGAGACAGTCAAAGTGTTTCCGCCAGACCTGCATTATGTCTGCAGTCTGGGTGCAGGTAGCGCCTGAACTACCATCGATCAGTGTCCTCAGCGACTCCAATCTCTGTCCATACACCGCCTTCAAGGAGTCAAAGAATTCCTTGTGTTGACGGCGTTCGGCGTAGCATTCCATCTGCTTCGCCTTCTCCGTCCACCATGCATTTTTAATGCGACGGAGCTCTCGGGTCAGTCGCCGTCGAAGTTTGCGAAACTGACTACTCTTCCCCAAGTCACTGGGGTCTGCCACATGTGCAGCAAATGCTGCATTCTTCTCTGACACCAATGCCTCAATCGTCACATTGTTGTCATCAAACCAATCAGGCCGCTTACAGTTTGCGCGCCCGATGGTCTCCTCGGCAGCAGCTGTCACCTGATCGCGAATGTGGTGCCACAGGTCGCCCACTGTGGCTATACAGTCCACATCACCACACAGGCGTGCAGTCATCGCCTTCTCCAGCTCAGTACGTTTCGCCACAGTACCGAGGGAGAGAATGTTAAATTTACGCCGATTCACGGCGGGAGTGCAATACATAGATTTACGAAAATATATGTACAGTTTGGTCCGAATCAACTTGTGATCAGTGCCACACTCAGCTCCACGCAGTACACGTGTCATGCGCACTTCACGCATATCATGCTGACGTTCGATGACATAGTCGAGCAGGTGAGCGTGACCACTTTGTTGGTGTGTCCACGTTGCTATATCACTCGCACTCAGTGCAACCCGAGTGTTCGTGATCGTCAGGCCGTGAGTCGCACATAGTGAGAGCAGCCTGTCACCGTTCGCATTCGCTGAACCAATGCCATGCGAACCGATAACATCTGTCCACGCTGATGCATCACGCCCAACGCGCGCGTTGCAGTCACCCAGCAGAAATAGTCGGTCTCTCCTCGTCACAGACCGTAACAAGGAGGATAGCTCAGTGTAGAACTGATCACGCGTGTCATCAGGATAACACATAGTCGGACCATACGTGATTATAAAAGTAGCAAACTTACCTCTTCCGAGTCGTAGGCGAACAGTCATCAGTCGCGCGCTGATGCCTGTTGGTTCACCCACCAGCTGGCCATTCAGGCGATCGGATATTGCAAATCCGACCCCATGTTCACATGGTGCTGAGGCGGCGTTGCCCACCCAGTAGAATGTGTAGCCAGCACCTGCTTCATGTAACTTACCTTGCTCAGCGAGCCGAGTTTCACTGAGCGCCGCAATATCGATGTGGTAGCGCGCTAGCTCCATTGCGACCAGTGCAGTGCGTCGCTCCGGGCGCTCGCTGGAGTTCCGGTCCAGTAGTGTGCGCACGTTCCAGCACCCGATGCTGAGTGCTTTGCGCGCAGGCATACGATTGCATTGGTGGGCAATCGCACGCGAGGTGGTCGTTGTGCTTCGGAGGTTTGCTTGAGGGACTCCACCCGGAGCCTTTGGCTCAAAAGCCTGACCCACAAGGCAGTGGGTGGTTTGGAGGTTTGCTTGCGGGACTCCACCCGGAGCCTTTGGCTCAATAGCCTGACCCATAAGGCAGTGGGTTGTTTGGAGTTTTGCTTGAGGGACTCCGCCCGGAGCCTTTGGCTCAATAGCCTGACCCACAAGGCAGTGGGGAGCAGATCCAGCTCGGGAATGTGATTGCAGAGACAGATTGGGATCTGCTTGACGGCCGTCACACGCAGCCATATATATATATATATATATATATATATATATATATATATATCCTGGCGGGCACATCCTTTCAGACCTATCTGACGCCACAGATATCGCAGATACATGTCGGTTCTAGCTTTCGCAGTAGGTGAACTGACCTCAGTAGTTATGCGCCCATCGTTGCCGATGCTGCTGCGGATGTAAGTAAATTGATCAACTGCCTTCAGTTCCTCGTCATCAAGGATTAACGGGTCATGAGGTGACTGGTATCTATGCAACAGCAGTTTATAATTTGAAGGTGCGAAATACAAACTATCAGCGTTTTCGGATACGTGCGCCCAATAGCGAGTGGACAAGTCAGGCGCAGTTAGTTCGACTACCTCGTGGGGGTTCTTGGTCATAGTTTCGGACACGCCACTACATAAATACTCAGTGTGTCCAACGTACGTGCTAATGCAGTCTGTTGACCTAGCTGTTTTAGAATGCGAACGTTGAAACTTGCCAGGGAAACGGGAGAGCGCGGCCTTATAAGAAGCCGTTACCGATAGACGTCCAGTGGTTGGTGCTGGAATGTAGGTACAGTTGGTAGAACTGCAGTGGCATTGCTGCTGCTGTCAATAAAGATAGTAATTCTAGTAGGACCTTTAGTAATGGGGGAAGGGAGGAGAATAATAGAAGCAGGTGGAAAATAGAGAACGGAGGCGCCAGTAGTAGCAGGTTTTCGCTTATTCGACAAGCTGTTTGCAGCAGTGAAGGTGACCCGTGCTAAGTTGAGTGATGGCTGATGCAACGTGCTGTTAAAGTTTGAAGAAATAGTCACGTTGTACTTGGGCTGAGGTTCTACCAGAGCGCTCGGACTTAGACAAGAGAACGATTAGGATCCTCAACCAAAGCGTTTGGCTCCAAAGCCTGCCTACATGGCAGCGGATGTAGCAACCATTCGGTTTTACAGCAATGGACGCCATCCCATTTCAAACCCCAAGCATGGCGAACCAGGAGACTTAGTTTGTCTGATCTCTAACCATTGACCAACTTTGTAGGATTAGCACACAAGGGGCACTACCCACTGTAGTTCAATGGGTCGAACAGGTAGACAAACCGTCGCATGACGTTAAGGTCTAGCCTCGTTGCGACGGAGCAGCCAAAGCAGTGAAGTGGACTGGGACATGTTTAATTCTGTATTTTCTATACTTTACCAAGTGCATCCCCTTGCCCTCCTTCATCAGCTCAATTCCAGTAGCATCCCTTGACTAAAGTGCCGGCTACAAGAAAATCACAAGGTTAAACTCAAACAAATATGTGACGGAAAATTCATCAACAACTATCCGAATTCTTCGAGTGCACATTTCCTGCATAGACTAACTCACAAGGCAGTTATGTCGATGTCAGATCCGGAAACAGTGCACTTATAAAACTTTAGCCAAGCGCCTCTACCTTGGCATGGGTTGCATTGTTGATCGAGTTGTTCGCCTGAGTTGACCGTCAATAGAAACTATCTGAATGACTAAGCGATACAACTACCTCGAACAAGAGCCGAGCTGTAGATCTTTCATTTAGCTCGTTTAGGTTATTCAGTGGTGCAACCAGAAGAAATATGCTAAAAGCCGTTGATATAAGTTTTTGAGCTTAAACTACCTAAGATTAAATATTACTGTTACGAAAGAGTGAATTTTAGCTTTTCGATATTTTTCAGATTCATTATCCTATATCATCAACAGCGGTCAATTTCCAATAATTGTACTGTTCATACTATACGTTTTAAACCACCGTTAACGCTTTCCTTCCTTCCTTTAAATTTCCTTCATTTGCATGATTGCCTCCGGCGCCTTTACTCGCAAATGATTTATTGAAATCCTGCTCTATAACACTTTGAGAGCATAGACACAGGATGGCGTAGTATTGACGCACCAATTACAATGTTCACCAAAATCGGGACAACTTCGTCACGGATCCTGCGTTCATGGTTTTACCAATATCGACTCTGCCTTGCCTTGGAAGTTTGCGAGCCGTGGGAACAAACAATTATATGTATCCTTTTCATTGGCAACCAGCTGACCCAATAGGGTACTGTAAGCTTAGTTAGATAGTTTGTTGTTTTTGTTCCGCAAAATAATATGATAAAGTGTTTGCACATCTGATTTATGGGTGTTGCATTATATCCAGTTGCTTATGAGTTAATTTTGCCAGTGAAATTCCCCCGTGTTTTAGCAAGTGTTTGCTTTAACTATAGCTCAATTATAATAATCTCTAAACTTACCCAGCATGGGCCACCTATCCATTACCCAAGATCTGCTTCTTTTGCTCGCCATAACTTTGATAACTAAAAGCAGGCTGCCGCTGAATTGACCTTACTTTTGTTTCCATATTTTATAAAAGTCTACAAACTGCACCTATTAATCCTCCAAACACGGGTTCAAGTATGAGTTAAAGTAGTTGCAACACCTCAGAAGTTTTGTCTGCTGCGTCAGTCGGCATAACACCCGATAGTCTCCTAAGCCTCAAATGCACTTTTTCAGGTCAAATCAGTCAGGTTTCTTGGATGCGTCTAACACTGGCATTCTGTGAAACATTAAGTGGAATATTTCTCGACAAAGTGACGTACAGTTCAACTCAGTGATTTGTTCAAATTGGTACAGCGAGATCGCTTGAAAAAGATGACCCAACGCTTTTCGGCCCGATTTACAAACGAAGTTAGAGTAAACTAAAACTGAGGGTATCAGAAGGGCTGCCAAGTTGAAGACAATAACAAATGGAGACTTGGCCAAATGTTTACGTAAAGTAATACGGCCATGCATGGACCTGCTTACATGAAGGGTATCCCATGGACATTTTCGCCCGCACTCCCATGCCTCATTTGGCCGTGTGCTGCTGTGGCGTAATACCATGTGAGGCATCACCTCTTTTCACATATTTGCTGATTATATATGCACAAGTTATAGTCTATCAAGACTTGTAGCCCATTCTATTATTCGTCACAGCTCGAGTATGGCACATTTCTAGTCATTTTGGCGCCAGTAAACCACTTATATTCTGCCTTGCATGGGTATAACTGTTAGCCTGAAATCATAAATCCTTCACCTTAGGATGTCAGCCTAGCCGTGGCCAACAGGGCAATAGGAAAGAATATAAATATGTTTAGATGGATCGGAGACAGGCAAATCAGCTCTCGACAAGCTGCGACACTGTTCCTTACACGTGGACTATTTTCACATCCGCAATGCTTATCGGGCAAAGTTCCGCCAAATTAACACAAATAGCTGCGCAGATATTTCTTACCAAATGGTAATTCTCCAGCTGGTAGTTTGGACGGAGATACATGCCAAAAATGACCAAGATAATGACTAATAATTACATGACGTGTGTTAAAGGCAGTATCGGCAAAAACATGAATGTAGAAAAAACTGAATTGTTGAAAGTAAATAATTGCTACTATTCAGACTACATAGAGAACAGGGCCTTATACAGCTGTTAACTGACCGGTATTGGTATTAACAGAGTGCGCTGATAGTTCGACTGATTCAATTTTGGTTGCTTTCATCATTTTTAGTGTACATTAAATGCCATTTGGCCCTTTCCGATATGTCTCAGTTAAGCTTGTTCTGAATGACTCAACGGTTTTGTCTATCATGCGAAATTTGTTTTTTAAATTATGGAATACGTGCGGGAAAGCACAGGATCTCATGGGCAATGAACACCCGTTCTAGATGATTGCATTTTTAGTAAGGAAGAAAGTTGCGCGTATTTTAGTGCATGTCTTTAATTCTGGCCGCGGGAATCCTTTCTTTCGTATTTCGTAATGGGTAGTGTGTTGTGACTGAAGAGAATAACTCGGCACATGAACTTTTCTATGTTTATCGCATCGTTTGGGAGGGGCAGATTAAGCTCAAGCTTTCTGAACCATATCGGGTGAACTTTTAGCTTTCTGCAGTGTTCTGTGTACGTAGGTCTGCTAGTGGAACCAAGAATCAATCTTGTAAATGTACCTGGAACGCGCTCCAACTCCAATGAATCGCAATGCCAAACGTTACAGTAAACTAATTAACATGTATGTGCATGTGTGCATGTTTTGAAAAATATAAGCTTTGCACCTGTTGAATCCAGCAGTCTGAGGAACCTCCCATTTTTTTGCCTTCGCCTTCGTCACGATATTCTGTATATGTTGCGAGAAGTTCAGACTATTGAAATAATGAAATCCCAAGTCATGGAGTTCAGAACCACAAGTAAGCGCCTTACCAAAGAAGGTCAGTGGGCTAGATCGAATGTTAGAGCGGTATGAAAGAACGCTGCTCTTTTCAACTGGGAAGCTCATTTTCGATGTGGAGCTCCACAGTTCAAGGGCCTCTAGATCAGTTTGCACCCCTCAAAGGGCAGCGTTCTGATGTGCTGATCGAGGGCGTAATGAACTTTAATGTTATCGGTGAACATGTACCTACTACCATACAATAATAACATCGTTGATGTACATAAGAAATAGTAACGCCACTTGTTATCGGGTTGCGACAGGATATGTGGTTTTCCATCCTATCTGCTTGGGTTCTGCCATCAAGGTAGGGTGAAAACCAAGAGAGATAGGGGTCAATTATACCAAGTTATTCCAAGATTACCAACAGTCTGCCATGTGGTCAGAGGCCTTCTGCAAATCGAGAAATATGATAACTTGGAATTTAACCTCATCGACAGATTCGTGATGTGATTGCATAGTTCCAGGTGGCACGACTGACAAGGACGATGCTTATGAAACCATGGTGCGTCGAGCTAATCATATTTTTTATACGTCTTTTCGTTTACAACCTTCGCCATGACTTTTAGCAGAATGGAGATATGGCTAATTAGGCGATAGTTTGGTACATCCATTTTTCGACCCCCTTTCTTAACGTGGAACTATTACAGCATGCTTCCAAATAGTTGTAGTGGAGTTGGCTCTCATTGATAAAGTGAACATGTTTTGCAGCAGGATAGGGATATCGGGACCACTACATTGTAAGAGAGCCGCAGGAATACTATCTGGGCCATCGCGAAAAAGAGTTTTAGAGAGCTGGAGATCAGGGTAACAGGTTGCACACCGGACGCCCGAAGTGCTGAGTTGGGAAGCATTTCTGTAAAATAAGTAACGAATTTCAGGCGGCTACCATACGAACTGCTCCTTGGCAGTGATTGCAAGAATCAGAGATGTTGATACAGTAACTACGAGTTGGTTTGGGGCGTGCATCGTTTTCATCTCAGAGTCGACCCTATGCTGCTGAATGCATTTCCATGGAAAACCGTCCGTGCACAACCGTTCCGACAATGTGGAATCACTCTAGCGTTAAATCCGTTACGCAGATGAGCACTAGGCGACAACCAGAGGGTTTGAATGTTAGACCGGTAAGTGAGGCTGGTGAGTTGCGTTTTTCGGATAGTGATGCGTACGCCTATTCATAGGTACCGGAGAAGTGTTTAGTTATTCTTACATTCTCTCGGATGTAGCAAGGCTCGGGATACAAACACAGATCTGGCAGTGGGACTGTGGTACTCCGTCACCACGTAAAGCGGTGTTGGTTTCTCTCGTTTCCCGGTATTGGGGCCGAGGTGGATCACTCACCCCTTAGTTCAAAACATGACTCGTGACCAACAGCAGTGTGATGTTTTGCTACTGTCCCAAGCAGGTAACCCGCTCTAAAAAGATGTTGCTTGATTACCTGTGGGATGGTAAGTTCTTCGGTCAGCGAAAGCAACAATGAAGCTGTCACACCGATGTTAATTTCTCTTCAGACGAAAACAGTTGTTTGCTGTCGAGCGACTTCGGTAACGCAAAGACATCTTGATACAGCACATATGCTTGAAGATCTTTTGATTGCATCAAGTCCGCCTTACCCCAGTTACTACCTAGCAGTAAGATTGTCTTTTACATTTTATTATTGTATGACAGCAAATCGCCAGCATTAATGAATAATGTATTACTGCTACCTCCACAGTTGCAGCTGATGGTGATGATGATGACTAGGGAAGGCCGTGTTAAGGAGTGTCAGCCGGACGATACCATTACAAGATGGTGCACATCGAAGGTCCGTTTGTAGTTAAGAACTGAAATGGGTCCAAGTCTCTTTGATGAACCAAAGTCGTTGAGGTAAAGTGTTAGGCAAAATCGACAAGGAATATCCGCTTTAAAACTCCGCAGTGCTTAATACCTTTCACAATCTAATTTAAACACAGCAGAGGCTTTTCGAAAAGTGCAATGTCCTTCACCGCTAGTGGAAACAGATCAAGTAGTTTGGTGTAGATTTTACATCTTGGTATCCCATTCATGGATCGGCACTTGTTAGGGGAGACTGGTGGTAGGGGTAGACGGAATCTAGAGAGAAAGCATGGTTAATTCTGGTTTGGCAGCAATGATAGTAATTTGTATAATTGCTGACATCTAGAGAGTTTATGCTCATAGAGAGAACATATGTAACATGCTTTTTCAAATTTCCTTTTGGAAATATAATCTACTGACAAAAAGTATGATTTACTGGTATCATACTGGATGATGAAAGCACACTTATAGGAACAACTCAGAAGTAAGCGGAGTTTTGTCCCAGGCTGTTCACATCTTGCTGCCAGGGCACAGACACCCTGATTGCTAAATAAATAAACGAACCGTGTGCTTCTCGGCATAGCGAGATACAATACAGTTAGATGGTCCCATCACTTTGTACGACACAATTGCATAAGATAGTTAATTGTTCGAGTTAGTTACCTTGGTTCCCAATCATGTTTCTGCAGTGCTCTATCAGTTCAGCGTATTGGTAAAACGAAGCACTTGATAGGAAGATAAATACTATCGTAAAAACACATTCAATGGAAGTAATATGGACATCCGTGGAATCGTCTCTTGGGGAACTGCTTCTTTTTGGGGTAGTATCTCGAAAGTTTTCATTCGCAGTACCACACCCCATCTGGCTAGGTACCAGTGTGACTTAATGACAAGTACGCCATTATCGCATTAGGCCGTCTTCAGGACGGTTGTTATATGCCTGCAGTATGAGCACCGTAACCATTCAGCCTGT